ATATTATATATATACTTCTCGAATTCTCTGCACAGTTTGGTTTTCACAGCATCGTCGTTGGCTCTCCACACGGGTATGGCCTTCTGTTTCTAGCAGGACAGCAAAAATATTTTGTTTTACAAACGGGTTTGATTCACACGAAAATAACTCATACCGGCTGCAGCACCAAAGAAGCGACACAGATGTTCTCTCACTCTAAGTCGATTACTCTGTAAAAAATTCATTGCCATAGTGTTTGCTAGGACTGTTTGACATTCCATAAATTCTTATACGGGGGTGCCCACTACGGCTGGATCGGGCAAATTGCCCGACTCGATCGCCTGAAACTGAAAACAAACACGTTTGTTTTTGTGGCGATCGAGTCGGGCGGTCGGCCCAATCGGCCAATCCCATCCGTAGCGGGCACCCCGTATTAAGCCACAATATAAAGACTATCATCGGTTTCCATGGTCAGTCTGTCAGCTATCCACCAGTCAGTCTGTTTCTCTAACAGAATTAAAGTTTGTCTACCTGTTAAGTTTGGTGCTGTTTCAGGGCAAGAAAGTTGTGGCGACTTTAGTAAGGACTGGTAAATAAGATAGCTTGGGACATTAAGCACATTAATATAGAATTCAGACTTCAAACAAGCAGCAAAATAGACCGAAGATCCACAATGAATAATGACAGTGTAAACAAAAAAAATACATGCACTTTAAGTTAGAAATTAACCAAAATAACGCCGTACCTTTTATTTTCCTTTCTTTGTTTAATTTAACAATTAATTTTTAACGCCATTTAGATCATTCAAGAGGAGGGTTTTGCCGATTCGGGTGGAGAGGGATACAACGTACAAGCAAATTGATCTTAACAGTGGATGACAATTCCTTATAACAGGGAATCGAAGGCAGGTCGTCTGCGGGCGACAGCCAAGCGCCTTATTGTTACACCACAAACTCCGGCTACACCTTTCTTTTGTTTGAACCTAATAGAATAGTTTATCATCGTTTTCCCACATTACAAAAAAAAGGAAATATGCGTCTTCGTCTATTTTGTTATTCTTTCCTTCGCACCCCCCCCCCCTTTTTTCTTTCTTATCCTCCCTCTTACTTTTAATCCACATCTCTTTTTCCTTCTCATTGCATAAACGTCTGTGGTATAATAGTCAAGCCCTTCATTGAGCACCGAAAATGAGCGAGCTGGATTCCCCCAAGCGGTAGTCTTTTTTCTCTGCAGGTGGATCCGTTTCCAGTAGCCGGAGAATGACCCTGACGGGCAGGGATGAAGCAGCTCGTCTCAAATGTGATATAAATTGTGGCAATGAGAGGTTCGGATACCTTCATTCAGTCATTGACTTTCAAATCTCTTCTTTTCTATCTTTCCTTGCCATCCTTTTGCTTCCTTAGCTCCTTTCGTTCATCTTTTTCTGTTATCTTTTTATTGTGTTCTTTTCCCCGTCGTTCTTTTAACTCAAGATGATCTTTTACATAATATCCATTTATGGTTGTACTTACAGTCTCCATTATTATCATGAAATCGCTAATTTCCTTACTGGCTTATGTGTTGCAGGGGTAAGTGCTTCGCCGTCGCTCACTGAAGACATGGGTTCGATTCTCGAGCGGGGTTTATGTGTTTATCGAGTATCTCCGTCTTTCTGCTAGGACATTGTATCATTCTCCACTCGGGTTGGCCATGAAAGCCAGGGTGAAAAACAGATCGCCACCTAATTGTTCTAAATTGTTTCAAAGCTGGTGTTAAAACAGCAACAACAACTTTGTACCTTTTTCATTTTTTTTGCTTCTATCATATTCTCTTTTTTATTCTGTATTTTTCTTCTGCTCTTTTCTTTTCTTTCATCGCACCGGCCACTGCAGCGCGTTTGTGAACGAACTTGACCGACACCTGGAAGCTCAAGGTTAGAAACCGAGAGAATGAAAATGGATATTTTGTTCAACGTTACATTCTGATCTGCTTCGACTCACTTCTCATTATGGTCCTAATTTAGATGATTTAGGGGCTGGCTTCTTCGACCTTCCCTGTCTGACATACAACATCCCAGCAGACAGAGATACACGATAAAAATACACCCTCAACTCGAGAATGGAACTCCTGTCTTCTGCATGCAACGACAAAAAGCCAAACCGCTACATCACAATGCCGGATTAAAAAAACTATAGTCTCATGTTTCACCCCGCAAGAGCTAACCGTCTCTCTTTTACTTTACTTACTTTTACTTTTTCATCCTCTGTTCCCCTTAAGCGTCGAGGGGAGATGCAGTTTTCTATGGTAGGCCAGCTCCACAGCTCTTTCAGTTGTGATG